GTGTTGAAGGCCAGGCTGGATGAGGCTTTGAGCAACCTGGTCTAGTGGAAGGTGTCCCTGCTGATGGCAGGGGGGTTGGAACGGGATGATCTTTAAGGTCCCTTCCAATCCAAACCATTCTATGATTCTATAAGTCTCTTTATGGACACTTATGGACTCGATACATTAATTTTCTAAAGTGTTAACCACTTGATGGCCTTATATTAAAGCAAAAATTCTCTAATTCCTGATGAGAAAACTTTGGAACTATTTTGCACTCATCCCTGTGAGGCGACGTGTGGGGTTTTGCCATAAGCAAGGCTGGCAGGGGCTGGTACCTGTGTCTGAGCTCCCAGCCTTCTGCTGTGTGCGCAGTCCTGCCCGCCGGCTCCTGGAGCTTGGTGTTCTTCCCAGGTTGGTGTGCAGGCTGGAGCCAGGTCCCAGCTGTGGCTGTGCCGCCCGGCCAGTGGGTTCCAGGCAGTGTTGCTGAACTGGGAAGCTCCCCAGCCCTGGCAGAGTGCTCCTGCCTGTGACCAGCCACGCGTGAGGCGACACGGCGATGTGGGGAGCACGTGCCGTGCTGCGGGCAGGAGCGTGCTGCCCGGTGGGTCCCCCTTACACCCCGATCCCTCCGTGCCTCTGCTCCCCAGCTGGGACAGGGCGCTGCTCCCCAGCGTGCGAGGCAGGCACGGGACATCCCCGGGGTGCGACACTGGCCCTGCGCCTGCGTTTGCTGGAACCACGAGTTCAAACCCACAGCTGCTCCCACGTGCCTTGCACAGCTTCTTGATGCCGTCCTATCTCTGCAGATCTGCACAGGCAGGCCGGCCTCTTAGCTGTAGCCCTTCCCGATTCATTTGAGGTGGAAACAATACTTGATAGATAATGGTATGTTACGTAGCAGCAGCGCTGATGCCTGAACACATGCTCATTTTCAATGCCTCGGGTTTTTGAAAAGGACCAGAAACTGGTATCTTCTTTTGTTTAAAACTTATTTTAATAAATACTTTAGGTGTTGAAAAAGACCAAAAGGAAATCGATATTTAATTGGGAAGTAATTTCAGTTTTGACAAAAACAAATATACTGAAACTCAGGTTTTCATCAGCTTCTGACATGCATGTTACAGTAAAATCAGAAATGGATATGGAAATGGATATTGAGGGCTGATGTTCTTTGTGTTTTCAGTCGCTTCTCAACATCGCCCGTGTTTGAGATCAACATTTTCAAGAACTACTTACTGTTTTTTTCTGAAAGTAATTATGTGAGGATTTATCTTTTGAAATATAACATGGTTTGTTCAGCCTCTTTATCCACGGAAACCTAAAAGCATTTTTTCTAATCTTAACTGAAAGACTTTAACAGTTATACAGAATTTTAAGAAAACCATCTTGGCTTTGAATTCTACTGAATTATGGAATGATCTGCTCAGGGGAATGGTAGGTGATGTGCTAGCAAAAAAGGCTGTAACCTAATAGCCTCCAACTGTGATTAGAAGATGTCTAGATTTATAGGATTCCTGAAAACTCTGTAAATAATCTAGTTTGTTTTTATATTTAGATGACTTTAAGCCTGCATCTATTGATATGTCCTGTGAAGGAGACCTGGAAGTTGGCAAAGGTGAACAGGTGACAATAACACTGCCAAATATTGAGGTGAGTGGGGTGGCTGAAGAGTGGTGGGCTGAAAGGAATGATTTATTTTGTTGTCATAAGCATGCACAGAGTATAGAAGGATATGAAGTTTCAGTGCTGTTTCAGAGCTGCTTGTGTGGGGTGGTTTTTTTGAGTAGAAAAACAATTGCTCTAAGAATGTAAAATTACAAAAAGACCGAGAGGTTGAACAGCTGCACTGTAACTTTAAGTGTATTCACCACACTGGAAATATGCTGTAGGATGACCCAGAAGTGTTGCGTACACAGAAAAGCTTCATGTGGATGTTGGCAGTGCAAGTTTCCCTTTGGTATTTACTGCTCTAGTGCAGTTCTAAAGCAGGAAAGACTGGAAAGGGAAAATTTACAACCTGCCATGCTTTGCTGCTCTGCTGATATGGCAACTGAAACCCCTTTTGGTGAAAGGAGCCCTTTGGTGAGCGTGCTGTCATTGGGAAATAAGCCTTTAACCAGTTTTAAATAAGCTCAGCTGGGTGAAATCCCGTTCCAGTCAATCACCAGCTGCTTTTGGTCGTGGCTACTGTGAATCTAATTTGCATTTAACATTTTTGAAGGCTATAAATGATCACTTGTAGTGAACTTGTCATTGCTGTGATAGATTGCTGTTTCTAAGAAAAAAAGATGACAGTAGTAACGCTTACTGGACTTCTGATTTAACAGGGCTCCACTCCACCAGTGACTGTGTTCAAGGGCTCAAAGAAGCCGTACCTAAAAGAATGTATCTTAATTATCAACCACGACACTGGAGAATGTCGCCTAGAGAAACTGAGTAGCAACATCACTGTGAAAAAAACCAGGTGGGTGATTTACAGGAGGAACAACTGTGCTTCGCTCATTGTGAAAACTGATTTGTTACTGAGTCTAAACTCAGATGCAGGACTACTCAGTACTATTTTTAGCAAAATGTTATTTTTAGAAAGTACCTGGCCTTGTTCAGTACAGTGCAAAGCCTGTTTTCTCAGCACACTAACTTCACAGCTTTCACGTCTTGACTGGAGGAAGAAATGGGATTTTTTTTTTTTTTAAACTAAAAACTATCACACTGTTGAAAGATGGTAACTATCTTCTGATCGATTTAGAGGTGGGGAAAAAAGTGTTTGGAAAGTAGCTTGCCTTCTGTCTTCTGACTTCTAAATGAGAAAATGAAGAAGATAAACTTTGTGACATGTTTCAGTAATACCAATATCTTGTTTTTCTCATACCAAGTTTTTGATTATTTTTTTTTTCTTTTCTGCTGCTGAGTCCCCATAAGCCATTTGCAGCAGAATTATTATTAAGTAATGCTGGGTAGCCAGGTATAAAAACAAAGCAACTGACAAACGATTAAAAAGTTATTAGCACTGTATTAAAAACCAATTATTAATAGATCTATATATAATAATATGCCAGTATAATAACTTACCTAGAAATCTAATGATGCTATTTAGTAAGGCATGACAAATAATTCCATAACTTAAAGTACCATATCCCTTGCATTTTGTCTTCTAGTAATTAAAAATCTTTTGCCTTTACACATAGAGCTGAAGGAAGCAGTAAAGTCCAGTCTCGCATAGAGCAGCAACAGCAGCAAATGCGAAATGCAACGAAGGTTCCAAACAACGTGAAAAATTCTCCACCAAAAGAAAAGATATTCCCATCTTCTCCTCTGGATGACATTGAACGAGGTAAGCTCCACTGGCACAGGAGTTTCAGAAAACTTACTCTTAACTAGCAGTTAGTTTTTAAGAGCTAAGCATTTTTGTTGGTGTGGGGGTTTTTTTGTTGGATTTGGGGTTTTTGTTGTTGGTTTTTTGTTTGTTTGTTTTTTAAATTGGAGATTCATACTGGAAACTGATTGTGTGAGCAGTTTACCCTGGTATGGAAATGGCCACTCTGGCCCAAGTGGTGTAACAAAGCAGTATTTGAAACTTGCTAAGGTAAAAAAAAATAATCAGATGAACCATTAGGCTGAATAATGCCAGGGGTCCCCGTGCTCTCTCTCCTTGATTGTGTCTTCCACTGCTACTTCAGTCACGTATGTAGTTGGTTGTGTTGTGGCACTGGAACCAGCTGAGTCGCTTCCATTTTGACACCACTCCTCCTTCTTTCTCTGCACTCAGCAAACTTACAGGTTACAGTGCTTCACAACTCGAAATACATTTTAGATTACTAGATAAGACCTTGAGAAAGGTGAGGTTACAATGAAAAAGAGCTAAAAACCCGTGTAAATCAACCATTGATTTACTGTACTCTTGAAAGACTCTGGTCTGCTGTGACACTCACGTTTCACTTAATAAGAGGCCTTATTTCCTCTTTGAGGACAAGGAAGATGGCAGGTGGTAATTAGTTGCTACAGAAATACTGACAGGTGGCAGTTTCATTGACTGGAATTGACATCTGCCTCCCAAGATGTTCTGAATTCCTTTAAACATTTTTTTTTAGATGTGTCATTATGAAGGTGGGGGGGAGGTTTTGGTTTATTTTTTTTCCATTTTGGTCTGGTGCTCTGAGCAGGAATCTATACCACAGAACACTACTAGAATACATCTGTGGTTGCAGAGAGGAAGGAGTACTTGAGCACCTGGAATAACATGATGCTTTTTCTTGATGGTCTGTTGTTTTGGGGGAGTGGTGGTGTCAAACATATTGCAAATCACGAAAGTGGCTGCCAACATTCCAGACTCTTGTGTAGTGCCTGTCCAATTTTGAGCACTACTAAAGAATGTGGAATAATTGGCAAATAGGGATGGTAGGGACTTTTCAAAGTAATCTAGTTCATCCTTCTGTCCTAAAGGCAGATTTTTGACTTTAATTTTTTAACCTGTTCTTAAAGCCTTCCAGTGACAGATCCTGTGTTCTCCTTAGCAATCCATTCCATGGCTTTGCTTCCCTTAATGTTCAGTTTTTTCCTAGTAAATAATCTGACAGTGAGCCCATTACTTCTTTCATATTCATCATGCCAGTATAGCCCAGATTACTCTGCTGCTTCTGAGCAGCCCTTCACGTACTCGGAAGCTGCTATGCCTTTCTCATCCTTCAGGCAGAACGATGCCAGCTGGTTCAGTCTTTCCTTAGGAGTTAAGTTTTCTAGATTCCTGATTCACTGTTATTCTTCTCTAGCTATCATCCAACTAGTCCAAACACTTCCCGAAGTACAGTGCCTAGATACATTTGCTGTTTCAGCTAAGGCTCTAGCAGTGTTGGGTTCAGCAAGAGGACTGTCTTACAGGCACTGTTTGTCTCTATACACAAGGACCAAGTAGGACCAGATCCCAGTGTAGTGCTTGTCATTTGTGTAGCAGCCTGGTACAGTAGAACTGTGTGTAGTGATTCACTAACTCACAGACTCTTCAGAAGTGTTTCCTACTTAGTCCTTCTACATCCTGTGGCTGTGTAACTGACTATTCCTGCTTAAGTTCACTACCTTGAACTTGTTACTGACTTTGTTTTCTCAGGTGAGGGAAAGATCTCTACTTTTTTTCCTCCAGTATACGTACAGCCCTTCCTTCACTGTTTGAAAACACTTAATTTAAATTCTGTCAGATTCAATTACTTCAGAATTCAAGGCAGAGATCTTAATCCTCTGTTTTCAATATTAACTATTAGCCTTTCACTTAAGATTTTTCTCTTGTTAGACATTAGTGAGAGCAGGGAGGAAAAAGAACTAAATGCATAGGGCTTGAGTGGTATCTTTCCGTTGGTTTACAGCTCCAGATGTGTAGTAGATTAGTTGTTTCATTGGCCTTTCTTCTCTAGAATTAATTTTGAAATAACTTCTTGATCATTCTGCTAGCTGTATCCTGCTTCTTTTCTGTCCTTAAGCTGTTCTCTTATACATGTGTCCTTAGTAACAGGAGGTTGCTGCCCCCCTTCCTCCTTTCCTTTATGTTTGAGTCAGCCAGTATTGTTTGACTGTACTTTCTGTTCTTCCTTGGCACTGGGTTAGTTTGTCCTTGTACCCAAAGCCACACTATTTCAGGTGCCATTTTTCCTGAACACTATTTTCCTTTAGACTGGCCTTTGATAAGGCTGGTCGCCACAAGCACCTTTCCTTCAGAGTGGCCTTTGATAACTCAGAATTGGAAGGCTTCATGGAAGTTTGTGCTCAAGCTTATTCTTTTTGTTCTCCCTTCTTCTCTTGATTAAGCTCTGAGCCATCTTGCATCTTGGTGACTCATCTTCAACCTTTTCTTCTTTATCGGGTAAATCTGAAGTGAGATGAGCCACTCTCCTACCTGCTTTTTATCTCTGCTATATTAAAGCTGTTCCTGAAGTATTCCAAGTGCTTGTAAGACCACCTTATCAAACGTCTGGGTAGTTACAATCTTGTATAATGAAGAACTCCTGCACTCTGGATAACTCCGAGCTGCTATATAAAATCCACCACCATCCACCATGGTTCAGTGGTCTGTTTCAGACTTCTGGCTTCAGCAGCACCCCTGTTTTGCACAAATATTATGTGCACCCTTCCTGCAAGACTTGACTTCCTCTGCATGTTGGACTTTGGCGAGCATATATAAAAAATGCACACTGTGCAGCACAATCTAGCTTCCTTACTCTCTGAAATATTACTGTAGTCAAGTGATTTATTTCATCAAGAATGCGTTGGTTGAGTCAGTTTGATCTGTTAATTTCCAGCATTTCTTGTCTACCTCATGTTGTTCTAGTTTTGGGGTTTGTTGTTTGTTTGTTTTTTTTCCCTTCACTTCTATAAAGAGAACAAGGATTTGGTGAAGTTTTCCTAATGGTAATCTGTAGATGATTCCTTTGGATATTCTCACACTTAACCTGGTTTTGAGCAAAATGTCACATAGTCTGAACAAGTGTATTGATTGTAACGATGAACTGCTGGGAGGCATTTTGAGTGCAGCTGCAGACATCTTGCTGCTAACTTACCTCTGTGATTGTAACTGAAGTTTTTGGTCAGTGAAAGGTATCTTTGGGGGTGCTAGCTGCAGAAATGAAAAGCTGTTAAATGTGGGGTGCACTACCCTGTGGGATATGGGGTTAGAATTTGGGTTCACAGGCACATTTGCTCTAACACTTCATTTGAAAGGGAGAAAGTGCCCAAGCTACGAGAGGAGAAAACCACATGACAGGCTGGATGCTTGCTTGAATCCTTTTCGTTGTTTTGGAGAGTTTTGGTGGATTTGGTTTGGTTTTGGGCTTTTTTTTTAGTTGCTATAATGCTTTTACCTGACCTCTGATGTTGATTTTTCTTCTTTATTTTTTTTTTCCTCCTCCTCCTTATATTTCAATTATCGTGAATGTTAACTGAGAAACAAATCATATTTTTTTGCAGAGCTAAAAGCAGAAGCCAGTATCATGGACCAGCTGAGTAGCTCTGACAGTTCATCTGACTCTAAAAGTTCTTCATCCTCTTCATCAAGTAGTGAAAATAGCTCTAGTGATTCTGAAGACGAGGAAATGAAGCCCTCTCTTCCCATGTCAATGCCGTATTTGCAGCCGCAGCCTGCTGCGTCTGCCACACCACAACAGGCTGTCCCTGACAAAGATGCCAGTCATAACAGATCCCAGGAGGGCAGTGGTCATATGATGAATACACTACGTAAGTACAAAGGCTGTTCTTTTCTTAGTGCACAATTCCAGACATCAAGATTCTGAAAGGAAACCATATTGTTTTTAAGTATGTCTCTGTTATAATTAAAACTGTGGGAGGTGATGGTAGGGTTTGATTGTTCAGCAGCAGTCTGAATTAGATGCTGGGGTAGAAGTTTCTTGGTCCCCAGAGATACTAAATTAAAGCTGATCCAGTTGAAAATATTTCCTAAGCTCTTTTGGCTTCCTCCCAGTTATATACATTGGGACTGGAGAACAGTAATTTTGTCTTGAAAATACTTGATCTAACAGGGCACTCCCAAAACATATGCTTATAATTTCTTGGACAGAACTATGGGGGAGAGACTATACTGGCAATATTCTGAATTACAGAAGACCTGGTATATTCTTAGTTACTTCAGTTACTATTGTTCGTGGCACTGTTCCACTGGACGGCATGGCAAAACTGTCCTTTGCATGTGAGGAAGGAGGCGATTTCCTTTCAGGTGATACTATCTTATTCCACCCATTCAGGCAACTAAAAATGTAATTTGAAGAGTAGCTGTTTTCAAGAAGTGGTTGCTGCACAGCCTAGAGTTAAATGCTCAGGGTATTCAAAAAAGGAGAGTTTGGACAGAAAAAAAACCCCCACTAGGTAGAGAATCTTAAGTTTGCTACCAAAATATCAGGAGTATTCAGACATAGAAGTGAGTATTCAGCTATGGTGACTCTTCAGAAGTTATTACATTTTTAATTAGGTGCTTAGCTGCAGGCTCCCAGTTTGAAGAGATTCCCATCAACCCTGGTTTGCAGCCTAAGATTTTTTTAAGGTTTATCATTTATATGTAAACTTGCTATACTGAAATCTTTTACTCTGGCAGATCTACTTTTATTCCAGTACTTAATGGATAACGTGAACAGGTGGGGGCTTTTTGTAGCTAGTATTTAAATACTTAAATAACCAGCACAGATATTTAATTATGTGCTGTATTAACAGGTAAGATCAGACAGAAAAGTCCTGTGACTTTGTGTGCAAAGGACTAAATGCTGCTTTCATTTTGCTGTCACTGTAGAGAACAATGTCTTCATGTTTATAATTCATGTATCTTTAGAGTGTGCCACTTATTTCAACCCTTATTCACATATGGGATTTCCCGTCCTTCATGCTTTAAATAAAACTGTTATGAAAATGAGGTTAGGCTCTGTCCCCAGTGACAGAATCCCAGCTGGCAAAGCTTCCACTGAGAAATACACTTACAAGTACAGGTGGCCAAGTCCACCGGTTCCAACAGTCATAGTGAGAAAATGCTGCTTAAAACAGGACAACATCAAAACTGCTACAGGTGAAGCTGGTGGCTTGTTGGTGCTCAAGAACCACAGTGACAGGTAGAGTCTCTCTCTGTAGCATCGAGCCTTTGGCTTGACTGTCTGAGCTTGCCTAGATCTTTGGCTTAATCCCATGTACTTCTGTTATGGTTATGGATCTACTTACTGCTTAAAATGATTCTGTCCCCAACTTCCAGTACAGTTAACAGTTGAAACACAGTTCAACTAGACAAAGATCAAAACAAGTTACTTCCAAGGAGAATGTGTTTCTCTAGCTCGCTTGCTGAGGGAATTTGGCAGGAGAGTGAAACCTGGAGAGACTAAATGGATAGCACATGGTTCTAACTTGAAGGGCAAGAGTTCTCAGTCAGGGTCCTGTACAGTCATTTCTTCCATCTCAAATAATGTTTCACGAAAATAAAATATTGAATCAACAAATGTCAGCACAAGCTGTTTGCTTGTCTGATCCTGTTTTGAGGTTTGACCGCTCATGTGCGTGACTGGTTTTGCACACCTCTGTAGAATCAGGGCCGTACCGGGTAATTAGTGAAGTTCTCCTTTGGCTTCCTGTGTGCAGGCAGAGAGCTGGGGGAAGGGTTAGAGAGCAGAGTTTCATCTTCCATGTAGAAATCATACAGCTGAGGTTTTGTGGAACTTGGAAAACACAGGAGGTGGTGTCTAGAGCATGGTAACCAAATGCTTCTGTCAGATATACATAATCCACCTCTTCAGAAATCCAGGGCTCAAGACTGCCCCTCACGCCCTGAAAACTGCTGCTTCTCCTTTCTGCCTTCAGAAGCTGATTACACAAGCTCACAACTTACCTTACAACACAGTTTGTAAATGGTGGCACTAATCAACCTGTTCTTCAGAAATATTTGGTCATATATTGCTTTATATCTACTTTTTGTTTTAATAAGAGTTACGTTAAATAAAGTAATTTTCCAAAGAAAAACCAGCATAAATTGGCTATTCTGAGGCCTTGTGTTATGTACTCAGCACAACTTCACTTCTTTTGATACCTGGTGCTGGTACAAGCATCTTGTCGTGAAATAATACTTCCCTTGTCTTAGTTTCGTGTTGGTGTGACCACTGAGATCTGTGAAACATGAGTCACTCCTATCAGTTTCCCTGTTTCCTATAACTTGAAAGAATTTAATTGAATGTATTCTAGTCATTAACTTAAAGGTTTAGGAAATGTCATAATTTGCAGTGCAATCTATTTCCCCAATTAATATTGCTAATAAGCAATTGTCACTGCGAAAACAGAATTCAACAGTTTTCCCCGCTTTATTTCTGCCTCACAGGTACCACAGAGCCCAGATGTTTCTTCAGGGTTCTGGTTAAATGAACTTTCCATTCTTGCACCAAACCCATCTGAAAACTGCCATCTCTAGTCTGTGTTACTTTGCCATCTCTCTGATGCTGTGTTTTTGGACATAGGGTTCTAAAAACCAGGCAGAAAGTTTTCCCTGAAGTAAATCCTAACTCATTATTTCTGACTCTGGAACTTGGAGTTCTTGCTTTTCCCATCTGCTGGTTTTCACAAGCATTGGTATTTTTGGCTGGTGTTTTAGGGTTTGTGTAATTTCTATTAACTATGTTGAAATAACTTTTGAAGGCTGCAGAACCACTATTTGGGAGGTTATCTTCTTGTTCATATTCACAGTTCTCTCCTAAAGCAGGTAGTGCATAACAGGGCTGGGATTAATAAGAATTTGCTGTAAGTTTTCCTTTGAGTGATAAATGCATGAGTTTATTTTACAAATGCCATTCTCTGCCTTAAAATATTATTTCTTAGGATAATATATTGTCTTGAATAATTATTGACAAATGACTTGATTTTGTTCTATCAAAATTGCTTTTAAAATTTATATTAAAATAATAGAGCTGTAAATGATGTCTGTATATAGAAGATTAGAAAAAAAATTGTCTGAAGTCGTACTTCAAAGATCGATGGAAATGGCCATCTCCACTTTTTTTTGTCTTCTGTAAAGTGTTTTCTGCTTTGTTGCAGAGAATCATGTACCACTTTCTAAGATTTAGTGATGACATGGTGGAAAACAAAGGAAGGCTAAATGCAGCCATGTTAAAGACTTCAGTGTTCTGGCAGAAATTACATGCCTGATAACAAAAGATCCAATCTGAGGCTCTTGTTGGATTTACCCTCTTGAGGTTACTTTTTTACCCACCTGCAAAAGCGATCTGTGACAGGTGCTGCAGCTGAGGAAAGGGCATGTGAAAATACTGTATGTGAAAATAGTGTCCCTACTCAGTTTGGGTGATTTTTCTTTGCTTTTTAGGCTGTTTCTGCACAACCCCAGATGTTTTTGGGGTTTTTTTTTTTTCCCCTCCCTCTTGTAATGGCTGTTTGGCAAGGGGGGCGTAATAAAAGCACACTGCTTGGGAAAAAAAATCTTAAAAATGCATGTGAAGTTGCTAGGTGCAATGTGGACTCTGTATAGCATGCTGCTGTATTTTTTGTTAGTTATCTGTCATCCTGGAAAGATTCCTTCCCTCCCTCCCACCCCCTCAGCTTCTGGACATCCACTGCAAGCACAGTGTAGGCTTTCTTCTTACTTCCCCATTTTGAAATGCACACAGCCACCAAATTAAAGCGCTGCGTAAAATCTCTTTTGATGTTTTGTTTGTTCACTTGTTCCAAAACCTGTTTGAAATAGTAGGTCGCTGATACATCTTTAAATGGTACATCAAAGAGCTGCTCTTCTTGATTGAGACACCACTTTGTTTTCAAGCACAGCCGAGTAGCATTCATATGTGTTTCAAAAAAAAAAAACCAACTCATTTTTCCACAGAACTGCCTTCACCAGCAGTTTTCTCACTTATGAAGCATTAAAATGTGGGTGGCAGAGATAGCTAGGTGTTGTCTTTTGTGATCTGGTGATATTAAATAAATGCATTTGTGGCTAATAAGCTAGTGGCTCCCTGCCAAGATTTTAAAATTGTAGAAAAGCGATCTCTCTAAGGCTCTGTCACGGGGGAGTTGGGTTCTATACCTGGTTATTCTCTTATCCTAGAATAGTTTGAGCTAGAAGGGACCTTTAAAGATCATCTAGTCCAACCCCCCTGACCTGTTTGGTGATTAGTTTTTGTAAGCCTTTAGTTGGGAAAGGGAATATCTTGAGAGAAGAAAAATATTTCCTTGAAAATGACTAATACGATGACTCTCTTTCTTCTAGGAAATGATTTGCAGCTGAGTGAATCTGGAAGCGATAGTGATGACTGAACAAATTTTTGGCCTTAAATGTATCACCTATATTGCTAAATATGTCTTAGCATCTGTTTTGCACTAAGATTAGATTACCAGAGACTGGAATGAATGTCCTCAATTTTGATAATAGACATCCTAATTTTCTACTGACACATCACATCTATAATACAGCAGCATTGATATCCTGTCAGTGCTATGGTTATGTGTTTATCTTTCAAATTACTGTATTTACAGTAAAATTATATATGATCTGATTTTGATTATTTTTGCCTCAGCCACCTGTTTTACTTGAAACTGATTTGTAACAGCTAGTTACTTTATATAAATAGTTATGAAATGGAGAATGGAGTTACGGAGAAATTTCTGATATTTATGGAGGCAAGTTTCCTTCCTATCATTTAAATGCTGGGTGCTGATCTCACAACTTGGAGGGAGTGAAAGGGAGGACAACTAAATGAGGTCTGCTGCGTCAGCTACGCTTTTTGTTCAGTTCACAGTTCATACCTTTAAGGAAACTGCTGAATAATGTGGTCCACTAGTGCAGTTACAGTTTACAATTGTTCAACACATTGCTGAATTCTTAATTTCATTGTATTATAGGACTTTATATTTCTGAGCCTCAAGATTCCTGAGGGAACTTGTCTATTCTCTGCCTTTTTTATGTAACTTGAATAGGCTGGTCTTTATACAACCTTTTTGTATCTAAATTTAGAGAACTGCAGAGACAGCAATGAATTTTCTTCATTTAATTCTGTAACGGAAATCAGAAAATTTCTTTGTAGGAGTATAAAAGTAATTTAATAAAGCAATATTTATCAAGGGCATGTGTCTGATTCTGTTTTTACTGGTTAAGAATTTCACTTTCCACCTATAGTAGTCATGCCAGTGAAAGGGTCATGCAAAGAATCAGAAAGTGGTGAAACAGTAGCTCATACAGACTCCTCACCCTCTCTGCAAGACTTGTTTGCTGCTTTTGCCTACATTGAGACAAGCCCTAATAAGAGCTTGCCAGAAGTTTTTAGTGGTGTAGTGTACTGATGTTTATTACAGGTTATATCCACGTGCCATTGGTAAGTGATACTGTGTTGGACAAGAAAAGGTGTTTGCCTGATCTTATATTTTTTTTCCTCATTTAAAATTATATTTCAAGACCTGAAGAACTGCAGGTAGGAGTCCAAATTTCATCCTGTATCTTACTAAAGAGTTTTGTAGCTAACAGTAGGAAATGTCTGTGGGATGAATTCTGATGAGATAAATCTGGTCTGTCTTGCACAGAAGTCTCCTTTGCTAGACGGCAGTGACTGAATCGCAGCTCTGTCCAATCTGTGAGGATCGAATCCTATATGTGCAGACATGAAAAAACGCACGCTCAGTTAACGTATACAATAGATGGTACTAGACCAGCTTATTCTTTCAGCTGTGCTGCAAGAATCAGCCTGTGCTCACCTCTAGGTGGATTACAAGGCCAAAACCATGTCTACCTCTCGAAAAAGGACCTTTATTGGTACCACCAGGCAGAAATGAAATACTGGAAATTCTGCTTTCTGATGGTTTCCCACCTTGCACTCTGTACCCCAAACTATGGCGCTGGTCCATGCTCTGCACCAGGCAACAGCTTGTTAATCTTCCACCTTCCTAAAGCTGCTGTTGTAAGAAGCAAAACATTTTCTTGTTTATACTCAAAAGAAAAAGCTCAAGTTAATAACCATGGGGGAACAGGTCTTTGAGAAGAAAAGGGCTGGCAGCCTCGAGGAAGGGTGCTGTGTAATAACTGCCGTAAGATACTCGGAACTTTCTGAAGGGAAAGGGTACTGAGGTCTCTGGTGGATGGTAGCTGTTGGTATGGGAACTCCAGCAGCTAATAAAGTCAGCTAGGATGATGTGAGGACCTGGGATGTTGCAGGTGACCTTACAACTAAGGAGCAGCCCTGTGTGCTAAATAAAGGGGTGCATGATAATGCAGCACCCTAAGCTGAAATGTTCTCCTTTTGCCTTCCCCCTGTCCCCAGTATTTCATTTGCATCAGCAACTTCCTTTAGGCCAATGCTAAATTCTAATTCTAGATGGAATGTGGCTGTTTTTTCTGAATAACAGCAAGTTCAGGCTGTGTGGGAGTGAGTAGATGTGTGGAAGCACTGCCCAAGCCAGGGTCTCAATCACAGAGTGTGTGTGTGCGTGTGCTCATGGATTATAATCACTCCTTCAGCGATAAAACTGGTGAGTACAATCTGCCTGCATCTGTACATAATTGCACTCGCATGTATACAAGTGCTTAAGCATAGCTCCTGGGGTAAAGCCCATTTCCAAGTTCCTGAGTCTCAGGACTGTAACTAAGCCTGTGCTATCTTTAGGGTTTGATCTTTGGGTTCAAAGCTTTCTAGGATGGGAAGAGTCTCAGCTAAGCTTTTGAATAGCACATAGTACAAAGTGATTAGTGGCAAATCAGGCGCTTGCCTGTATAAGTAAGTGTGTGACCTAAGTGGCTATATTCTGTCAAATGCACAGTTGTGATAATTCAGGAAAGTTTCCTTTTAAATATCAATCAAGTCAGGAGATAAGATTCTGGAACAGAGTTCTTCTAGAGATAAGGGGAAAAAGACAACAGACCTCAAATGTGTGAAGGAAAAGAGCTCTGTATGCTGGCTCCAGCCCAAATGTGTGTGATCTGATTCCCCTTTTCCATGTAAGTGTCAAACATGGGCAAGCGAGCTGAAGAGCTTGCTTGGGCCTCTTGTCCTACAGAGGGGATTGGCTTGGATCTCATTTCTGCCTCACTGGGGGTGTCTCCTCCCCTCAGGCTTGGTTTGTGTGCCCTGAGCACCTGCATCACCTACTGCAGGGTGTTCCCAAATGGCAGGAGTGAGAAAGGTGGTTGCATTGAGAGTTAGAAGTGTGAATGAGGGAGGTATTCTAGCAATAGAAAAACAAATCAGGTTGTCTTTTTTGAACTCAGAATTTTTGTTTGGACTCTGATTTCAAAATTTTTTTTCTTCTCCTTTAAAAACAGTTTTATTCCTGTGATATCAACTTAACTAGAAATGAATAAAATCAGCAACTGCTACATAAATTCCTATGACTGCTGTTCCTATGGCCTACAAGTGCCTCTTTGGAAATTATCTTTTGAAGTATATCTGGTTCTATCTTGTTGCTTTCAGCTATTTTGTCTTTACTTCCAGATATTTAAAGCATATGTGTGTGTGTGTATCTCTAAGCAGTAGATACATTTGAAGAATATTTTATGGTGACATTATATATTTTATTGTGACATTATAATTAAGCTATTGTGTATGTTTTGGATTTGAGGAACATCTGTGTATCACACTGATAAATCAAAGATATCTTCCAAGTGCAGCTGGAAACTTCAAAATGTTTTCATTTTCTGATTGCTGCAGTGCTAAGGACCACTGGAGCCACAGCTCACCTGAGCCTTTCTTTCTGTATGGCACCTGGTACGTGCACAGTATGTCTAGTAACTACCTCTTCAGGGTCATAGTATTCAACCCCCATTAAGTCCTGAGATTGTGACTATGTGTGCTTACCAATTGTAACTACCTTGTCTGGCAGCTTCCAATTTTTGTAAGGTATCTGATTTACTCTTGTTTTTCATGGACCCTGCCTGCCTTGTGGCAGGTGGAGAAGCTGAGGTGATCTCTTCAGGGCAGCTCTGTATTCCATGACTTACACTGGGATTGCCATTGACGTGGGGGTTTCTGTCTCTGTAATTCCCTCTTGAGATCCTTGTCCCTGATGCTTTAACAGACACTTAGGAAGTTCTAATCTATAAGCATCAAACTCGATAAAATGTCCATGTATTTTTGCAGTTGTTTGGTGATAACCTTATTTCCCATGTAATGTCTGAAACTTATTTTGATGCCTAGGCATGGATTACTGAAAACAGCTACTCATCAAAATCATGGTATCGGCACCAGCTGGAGCACAGCTCATCGTGGAGTTTATTTTCAAGGCACCTGATATGATCAGTATTATTGCATGAGCTTTGTTTTTTATTTTGGAGGAAGGCAGAAGATAAACATTGTTCAGATTAAAGGACTTCAGTAAGCCACTTCTGTGCTAACAGTGAATCATCTTGAGAACAGAGCAACAGTGTTTCTAAGCAGAATTATTTATTGGGTCTTTCTTGACGGATTTCTGGGGAACCAAATCAGATAATAGTTTGCTTCGGTTCCCCAGAAAAGAAAATCTGATTCTCAAGATTTTGGCCCACAAAAATTGTATAATTTCTGGCCAACACTTTTTATTTTCTTTAGAATTTCTACAGGAAGGTTTCTGAGAACAGCCAAGCAGACTGTTGAATCCTTCTTAAACAGAAGAGATGAGGATGCCTAGGCTGGACAGAAATGAGGAAGCCCAGAGGAGGAAAGAGAATATGACTTGGCTCATGATGGTTCTTAGGCTGAATGCTTGCAGTACATGTGAATTCCTACTCTCACCACTTTTTGAGATCATTCAGCTAACCATACAAGGTGCTGAGGACAGTCTGAGTAGATATGGAGTTCAGACCAGCTTTTTGAGGAGATGTAAAAAGAAGAATGAGGAAAAGCGAAGTTTTGAATAAGTGTTTGCATTTTGTTAAGATGTATGTTCCTGCTGCTTTGGGGGAAGTATGGGAAATGCAAAAAGAAGATGAAGATGTCCTGAAATGAGGAGAAAAAAGTGTGAAATGGTAATTTCTTTCACAGTTTAGACCTAAAACCTGATAGGTGTAGTCATCCACATCCAAGGGGAGGACTGTTGCCTATCTATTTTTTTGCCTCAGTCTTCACGGGCAAGGG